TTTTGTACTGGAAGATGCTTTGTTTCTGCTTAACTTCAACTTAGTATCCTTGGCAAGTTACATTTTGTGTTTATTTAAGTCATATGTATGTGTTAATCATTGAGCTCTGTTTGTTAATTAGTTGTTTCAAATTGTCTCTATCCTCATCATTTATTTTTCATCTGTTTCTCTGTAAATGTGTACTTTATTTGTCATATTTTCCTGTATATTAGGTTCACAGTGCTACACAAATTGATGCACAATTGGCACTCTTCATGAGCGAAATGAAGATAAAAAATCTGTCAGAAACTCTCTGTGTCCCGTTTTATGGATGCCAAGGGGCAGCTACAACAACATTGGTGAAAGGCATGACAGTGTGATTTTGAAATGATTCCACTGTAGGACCATGTGTATCTCTGGATTTATTTTTTTTAATAAAATAAAATATATGGTACATGGCCTTATTAGGGTCACTTTTCTTATAGGACACTGGACCATGATCAGTCTTTTTTAGATAAGAGTTTATTTTATTGGTCTTCGCCCACTTACAGCAAACTTACAATGCATTAAGAATATATGCAGAATTATCAGCATATGATACATTTATTTACTGTTGCAAGTGAAATAACAAATCTTTTGCACTGTCATGCTCTGAGCACATAAGTGGGTTCAGCATCATTGACTGGAGTAATTCGTTAAATGATAATTTCTTAGTGATGTTACAGAATGGATAACTGAAGGTAAACTTTAGTAGTGTTAGTGTTGTACCTGGTATGAGAGCATCTTTCCTGCAGTCATACAGCATCCCCAGCTGGAAAGGTCTCCCTAGAGCTGCTGTTTCCATCACATTCACTCCCACTGTATCCATACTAAACACACCAAAACACACCAGTTACTGATTGAACAGATTTGATTTGTTTTTTTTAGTTTTGCTTTACATACAACAGCTAAATGGATTTGACTCATATACAACCAAAACAAAAGCAAACAAACTACTTCTTTATATTTAATAAATGTAGGCTATTGTTGTGAAAGGTGGAAGAACCATTTATTTTCTACATTGCATTTGCTGATGAATTTCAATTTAGTACAGTAAATTATTCCTGATTGTTGTGGCCGATTTAAATTCACAATCATAAATTGAAATGGAGCCAAATCTTCAGATGTGAACTTTGTCCAACCATATAAATTGCTAGAAGCACGTTTAGGTACACTCATGTCAGTGTGGACAAAATACACTTTACTGTCCAAACCTACAACAATTCAAACCTTATATTTAAATAGTAATATTAGCCACTGTCACCTTTAAATCTTTCCTGTGAGGAGGAGGCGCAAAGTTCACTTTTCACTCATCAGGAACCTGTGAGATTAGAAACAGTGTCACCGTGTTCTTATATTTAGGCTAACTACGTTTATTTATTTTTAAAGATATTATATGATTCGGTTTGGCAATCATCAGCCATTACATGTATAGGCTAGGCTATTATGGTTTTATTAGAAAAATGAAATTGAATAGGCCTACATACATTTTTAAATGAACAAATCGTATTTACCATCTGGAAGCTGCAGATTCATTCCCACCGCTGTAAATGTTTCTTTAAAACCCCAGCAGGATAAACGAACACTTGAGTTTTAGACATTCAACACACTCGAGGGTAAAAAATGAATGTTGTTGAGCTTAAACTGTTTCCGGGACTTTTCTCCTCGCCTCTGTCTGTTTTACCTTCACTTTCAGTTAGTTAATGGTGTGAGATTTACAGTAGAGGAGGAGTTTGAAATCAGACACTTTCTGCTTCCAGTAGACGCGCTGTTCATCTTATTTGTCGCAGACCAAGTGCGTATAGAGTACAGATTGTAAAATGTCATTTTTGTCAAATACACAGACAAGGATGGATATTTTAGCCTATTTGTGGTGACTGGAAGCCTGGGCACTTCAGACTTGTGATTTAACTTGCTCATGAGAAGAAGAAGAAAAAAAAAACCTTGTAAAACACAACGGTTGTAGTTGTGCCGTACAATATTTAGTTAGCAAATAAACCAAACAACACGGGGTTGGCCTTTGTAAAGTTTAATTGAATGAAGCACCCTGCTGAAAAAAAACAGCTAAAACCAGCCTGACCAGCTAAGAAAGTGGTCAAAACCCCTCTAAAACCAGCCTGATAAACCAGCTATGACCAGGCTGGGAGACCAGCTAAAACCAGCCTGACCAGCTTCAGCAGGGCAGCAGGACAAGTCAGTGAGATGTGTCCCTTCTCGCTTTTAAAGTGTGTGTTTAAAACTGTAGAAAGTGATATTCAGAACTGTGGTGATTAAGATCTACTGACACTGACAATTCAATGAATAAAAATAAAAAAGTTCAATAAATAGACTTATTACACTATGAATATTATGAATTAGAGTCCATAAATGCCTTGTCTGGTGATAATGTATAGGCTATAGGTCACGTATCATTAGCCAATGACGTTTCTTAGTCATGTTCTCAAATCACATGATCGTCTGTTTTTAACACAGATGAAGTACAGTTCCATCTGCTGGTCATTCATGTGAAAAGATGTCTTGTAAGTATCCATTATTGCTATTTGTACATCACATTTAAATGTATTGTCAGTAGGCTTGTTTGAGATGCGCTTCGCCTGAAATGTAGGCAAGAGCAGGCGGCTGCAGTGAGAGGAGTGAAATAAGTGCAGTCAAGACGGACACTTCTGACCTCTCGAAGTGGAACAGATACCTACGAGATCAAAGACAGATATCGCGTTATTCTCACTCACG